CCGCTCCGCATTGATCCCCATCTTCCACAATTTCACATACAGCAACACTTTCACCCACACTACACTCGTGTGGGCCTCTTAGGCTGTTTTTTTTCAGCTGGCAATTGATCGTCTGCAGCCTCGCCGGAGTAGTGGACCATGAAGCGCCTGACCCATGTCTTTTGACTGTGTTCGTTTGGAAGGTCCTGAACGAATTCTTCCACGCTTTGACAATAGAATAACAAATCCGAGACCGTGCATTTGACATCGCCTCTGAAGTTATCGTAGTATTTCAAAACTCTGCCCTCGTAAGCCTTCATCTTTCGCTTTTGACCAGCTCCCTTCTTCCTTTTGCGCTCCGACCCCTCCACAGAGTCTAGTTTATCCCAATATTATTTTTTTCATCCCCGCAGGGTAGGCTCCTGGACGTTTAGCTCTCGCGAAGCGTCTGCTACAGTCCATGCCGGATGGGTTTTCCACTTCTTCAGCAGCTCTATCTTTTCTCTCTCGGTCCGCTGGGTGCACTTGCGCTTGGACATCACGTCCTTAATTCGAGAATGGCCACTGGAACCAACCGTACGAAACGAATCAGACTCAGATTATTCAAATTAACTCGCGCGACTTAATCTGAACCAGGGAGAAAGTCAAATTAACTCGCGCGAGTTAATTTGACTTCGGGAGAAATATTACAAACACAGCCACGTGTTGTAATAGGTCTGCAAAGACTTGTCTCTCGCTCTCTGAACCAGACACTGGGGGGTATTGCGTGAAACTATGTAATGCTGCAGAGGTCGCAGTACTGAGTATGGTGTGAGCTGATTGTTTGTAAATATAGAAATGAAAAAAAATTCGTTGGGGCCGTATTACGACTGAGGGAGGCTTTTCCAGACCTGAAAGCTAAGCTACACTACATGTGCGCTTGTTGTGACCTCTTTGATGGCAAATTCCGCATCGATTCATGGAACTTGATCCCTCCTCACCGACGCTTCGGATTCTTTTCGTCTTGGGGCGCCCCACGCGCTTGACGTACACTGCTGGTAACCAAGATGCATCACTAAATACCTCAGACTCGATTGGAATATTTACGGATTTGGGTCCAAAAGCCGTAGCGTACGTATTCACGAGATAACAGTCTTCAAAAAAGGTGAAGACATCCTCCAACTTTCCTAAATGTTCCAGTGCAGCAGCAAGATGTCGACATGGCAAGCCCATCTGATGGAAGTCGGAGCAAGTACACGATTTTATATACATGTTCACTCGTCGACGAACTTTCACAGTAGAGGAAGTCTCGTGTACGTAGAAGACTTCCGACGACGCCTGTTGAGCGGAATATTGCCCTATACGCGAGGCCTGCTTCGAAAACAGTTTTGTCGCGGCAGGTGTCAGCTTAAGACCTGTGTTTAACCATGACGCTGCGTTTTCAGAGCGTTTGAAGCATTCATCTACGAAACTCGTGCACATCGCTTGTATAAAAGCGAGAGGATGCATATGGCGCATTCCCTTTACTAGCTGACTTCCGAAGACGCTTTCAACAAAGTTGGATGTGCACCATCCGAAAAGCGGACATATACCAATGTTTGCGAAAACACACCAATGAATAGGCGGGATGCCTTCCAAATATATTTTCACATCATCTCCGAGCTCCATACCAATCCAGGTTAGACGACTTTTGTATAGCTCCTCAGTCTCCGAGCTCTGCAGCGACCAAATTAGATTCTTGTGGTGATGAGTGAAGTTTCGAAAGCGTCCCAAAATATTTCGAATAATATGCAGCGTGCAAAACTTCAAATCGAAGCCCATGTTAGCTGCCACAGATATCATAGCAGCACTGCGATCACAAAACATAGGCGTTTTTGTGAAGACGTAACCATTGCGTTTGAGTAGCGTAAAAAACCACGTGTAATTTTCGGCATCCTCAGATTCCACCATCCAAACGCAAGCGTCACATTCCGCAGGTTGCCATCTCGTCCAACAAGGTGCATCTGCATGCCACTATACGTTGGACACTTTGAGTGGCTACAGTCAATCCCAACTATAGATTGACAATCCTTAGTAGCCTCTGCAAAGACTTTCAAAACGATGATAGCTCTTCTGAAACGTCCTTGATCGTCTTGTTCAGCGATTGCAACAGCACCGGGATTGAGTGACGCAAATTGAGCCAGGTAGCTAGGGATACGTTGGTACGAAAGTGTCAGCTGATCGCTAGTGACATCGTTGAGTTGTTGCCGCGCTCTGTAAAGCGTTCTGCGCTTCTTCACCAGTAAAATCCGGTCTCTTGACTGGACCTGAGCGGTTAATGCTGTAGCTGAAACAGTGCCATCAGCGGCAACTGCGCTGCTGAACGTTGGTAGCTCTGCAATCTGGCGACCAGTGGGATTGGCAGCTGATACACAATTCTCGTGCTCCAAGGTCACTGAAGAAACCCGCAAAGTACCAAAGGAATTGCCTCTGCGTTGGGCCCGATAGACACGCACGGAAAACGGGCAGTTCCTTGACGAGCAGCTGATAAAACGGTGGTTTCCACTCCGGTTCGTTACTCGTACAGACCTCCCATGAGATAAAGCGTAGTCTTGAACAGCATGAAGAGCATGTGAAGCAGTATCAAAAGTCATTTTGACTTGAATAGTGTTTTCCTCATCGCCGCTTTCCAATCCATCAGCGATGTCGTCGATGTCCTCCGCCATTTTGTCCCTCAGTCGTAACAAGTGGTTCTGGGAGTTAAGGGTGTACGATTTGGGTCCTCATATGGCGAACATTAGTATACAGCGGGTTTTGGGGTTTGGGTCCGGCCCACCTTGTTTCAGCCATTCAATCGAGTGGACTCACATTCTGACGTTTGTTCCCTAAATTCCTCACTTACTGACGCGAGTTTCACTTGGTACACCGGCGATACCGATTCCACTTTGCTCACGTTTTGGCACATCCTTTAACTTTCTGTCACAACTTTAGTGTATCCACTCACATTTTGTCATTTTCCCCAGTAACACGCATAAACGCACTTCATTTTAGAAATAGAAATACTGTAACCTAGAGTAACCTCAATCGCTCGGCAATGTCAGTGACACTAACACCTGCAGAAATTAGAGGCTGGATGAGGTCAGCCCGCACGCGCATCCTCTGAAGCTTCAGCTCGTCTTTAGCGAGACTCTGACGCGCTTCCATTTCGCGACGCAGCAAGGCCAACTCAAGCTGCTGGAGTTCGTTCTCACGCTGCCATCTCAGCTGCTCAAATGCGAGCTCCTTGGCGCGGAAGAACGCCCGCTTCCGCTCCAAATTTGCCTTTGCACTACAGACTTTTGACTTGGCAATTAGAGGGGGAAGAAAACCTGCTGACGGAACCGGTTCGTTTCGACTACGAGGAGTATCTGCAGGCGGCATATTACGGGATGCTCGTGGCTTGGCGTCTAACGAAGGTGTATCGACATCAGAGTCGCTTTCACTCCGACTGCGCTGACGAGATAAAAGCTGCTGACGCTGCGAGACAACTTGCGCAATTGCCGAGCGCAACGCATCCGCTACGACCGTGTTCAGAGTCGATAGTGGATGGTTAGAGCTGTGCTGAGTGCCTTGCCTTGTCTGTCGAGACGCCTCAATAGTAGGTTCCAATGTGTGGACAATGTTACGCTTGTGACCTGAAGATTGCGTCTTGCCACTGTGAATGTTACCGCTTGCTGTGTTCTCATCGAGCAATGGGGAATCCTGCGAACCTTCTGACGCAGAGCTGGTACTTTGCGTAGTTTGAGACAATGTCAAGTCCACGACGTCCACTGTACCATTCTTCTCGGATGGAGTGTCCACGTGCCGTTGCTTCTTCTTCGCCCTCGGGATATTCCCTTCACTCGTCCGTCGTTTCTTTACGCGAGTGGAACATTTCGACTTCGGTAATGTTTCATCTTTCCCCTTTCCGGAAGAAGTTTGCGCAACTATGGAAGTCGTTTTTGCCTCTTGCCTTTTTTGCGTCTGCGCCGCGGTAACATTTCCATTTCCTTTTGAATGTTTCAAGTCTCCATCTTTATTTCCATTTCCTTGTACACGCACGATCGCTTTCTTCGATGTTCTCTCCTGCATCTTGGCACTACCTCCAGTCAAGTTACTCTGGAGCGCAGTATCTCTGTCGGTCTCACTGTTCTCATGCAAATTACTCAACTCACTCTCGGGCACCACTTCTTCCCTCTCACTGCGTTGCCTCTCCGTCAAGTTAACATGCACCTTTACGGACATTGTACGCTTCGCAGTCGGTTGCTGCCTCTGTCCATTGCTTTGCTGGTTTTCGCGCCCTCTCTCCATCCTCTTCCTCTCCCTCTCCCTTGAGGCAATCGTCCCTGGGTCATGGAGCTGCTGCAGACGTCGAAAATGACGACACATGCCGTCCAGCTTAGCCTGTACCGTCTGGATGCCAAGCAGCTCGTCCTTTTCGTCCAGTATAAACTGCGGGTTGGCCGCTGCCTCCGCTGTGGAGCGGTATTCGAGCAGGTACTGCTGGAGCATCTGTTTGGCGTGTCTAGCGTCCCAATTTGAGCCCGGGAGGTTCCGGTTCACGAACGCCGCTAGCTCGTTCAGTGCGTGGCTCTCTGTCTGCACCACTTCACGAAGGTTCACACGACCACGACGCGAGGAAGAAGAGAACGGGGACGACACTGTTACACGCAAGAAGTTGCTATTCTGCTCCAGCCACCAAACGATGGCATCGCGCTCTTCCATTGCCAATTTCAAATCGAAAAATGGTTTTTCGTGTATCTGGTGTAGATGGTGTCGTTTTTCACGTCATACAAAATGCAAGTATAAAAAATTGAACTCAAAAGTTGAAGCGACGGAATAAAATAAAATAAATGGACGAACTCGGACCCCGTGGTGGCCAGACTTGTTGCCTTTTGCAACCAAGGTTCGGGGCAATTAACCCATTAAGGACTGTGTGGAACTCTGACGAGTTGCGCTGTTAGAGGACGTGGAGGCCAAGCTATCGGGATTTGTGCAAAAGTTGGTAGTTTTTAACGGTAGTTTGGTAGTTTATCATTCCATTGATGAGGTTTGCCAGACATGCTGCTAGTTTCCACGGAGTGGCAGCGGATGAAGAGCATGGTCACGAGGTGCATCAGCTGTTCGAGGTGCGTGGGCTTACCCTTGACGATGTGTGTCAATCTAATATTTTTTACTGTAGAGTTACGAGAAGGTGTTTGAAGACGTCATTGCGACCTTCCTCCACGAAGAACAGGTAACTTTCCTCGCGATACGAAGTATACTACTTAAGGTGCTTATTTCCGTTGGTGTTGTAGCTTACTCCCGACGAGTCCTTTGCGCATTGTCGGGTGTTGCAGCGAAGTCCCAAGCACGAGGACGCGACGGGAAATCTACAGCTTCTGCTGTCTGCACTGGATTTTGAGGCTTTCTGTGAGCTCATGACACAAGAAGCGATTCAAACACAAATCGCACTCAAAGAGGCAGAAGATATGGGGCTGTAATATATCAGAATTGAAAGGATTGACGTTGAAATGCTACGGACACAGGCACAACGTGCAGCGAGGTGAAAAGAGCATGGCGGATGCTAGTCGACCAATATGTTTGCCATGTTCACCAATTTCTTCGGCTTCAGGGTCTTCAGCTTTCTTTTCGGTACCTTCGCCATTCACACCAAGCACCAAGTAAGCTGCCGTGTGCGTCGAAAGGTAATCTTGCAAGCTCTCGGCAATGGTACTAGTGCGCTCAATAAGCTGAATATCCACTATACCGTCAATCTGCATTAAAAGCAGCAGAACAAATAAACAAATTAAAGAGAACTGAAGGTCGTGACATCTTGACACACGGCTTACCTGTGCCCCTGCAATGACGCCTTTATACCATTCGAACGGCTCAACGTCGTACTCTCCAGTGATCGGATTCTCATAGAAATGGACAATTCGTAGAATATCCACGGGTCGCATTAGCTTGAGTGTGGCGTTGAGACAACGTGCTGCAGTCGTTGACTTATCCACGGCAACAACGAACACGTACTGCTTACTGAAGACTGAGCTCACAGGGGCTGGAGGCACGACTATTGTAGGGATTGAAGTGACACGGCGCAGAACTTCCCGTGGAACGTGATGCACTTGGTCGATTGCTGGTCCACCTTTTCCATGGGCTCCTAAGACGAGGAAGTCGACCCGCTCTCGCTCCGCTATCAGCAAGAGTTGCTTTGCAGCTGAGCTCGTGGCTTTACTTTCCTCGCAGATAATTGTGACACGATTCGTCGGTAGTTGCAGTCGCGCGCAATGAGCTTTATATTCTGTATATTTTCGTTAGTTGAAAGACACCTACGGATTTTGACAAAATATGAAGCACCTTCAGTGATGAATTCTCCTGAAATCTGCGGGAGCTGGCGACTAGCAGCGAGCTCTTCGCCCACGTTAATGACCACAAGTTGCCCTTGCCGTCGCAAGCGTGCCGCCAGCTCAAAAGCACGATAGGATTGACCTAAATATTTAGAAGTTAGGAATGCTCGAAGTGAGGTGTGGGAACTTACGGCTGCCATCAACTCCGACCATGAACTTTGCCGTCGGAGAGAGACGTTTGTTATCTGAGTGCTCTGTAGCAAAAGCACACGCAGGTATCATCCGTACATTCATATCAACGTTTATCGTATGACCTCCGTTGTAAACGTACCTTGCTCCATCCTACTGCGCAATTCCATTAGCGTGGTATGGATATCTAAGAAGAGGCCGGACTCGCTCTCACGTGCTGCCAACGCTGGGTCGTAATCAGCGTCGTCCATCAAGGAGCAGAGCTGCTCGTGAGTCAACTGCGATATATCCTCCGGTTCAAGTGTCTTGCATTGCGCCAAAACTTCATCCGGAAAATCGAGCAAGTGAGCTCGAAAAGATTCATCGGTGAGCTCTGGCTGCGTATAACCGTCAGATTCTACCAGTGCTCAAGCAGAAACAGCTCACATACCTCTTTAATGCTAAGCACCAAGCGTAAAATTTGGATGCACAGCCACAGCGCTGGTGACGACTTCTTGATCAACACGTCCAGCATTTTCACGAAACGTCGCGCATTTAAAAAAATGTTTTCTTGCTGTTTTCATTTACAGACTGAAACCAAGTCAACACGTTTTTTTTGTTTTGATTAAAATGAAAACGACTCAAAAACTTTTCTTCAGTTTTGTAAAAAAACAAATTGGTTAAGGAGTAAAACCACCTAAAAAAGGTTTTACCCCAAGAAAAAGCTGCTTACTTTGTTTTAATTTTTTTTATAAAAATATTATTCGCACTTGTATTTTTAGCACACCTTCACTTTCGTAATGCAGGAGAGCGGGGAGCTGCACCCGGCGCAGGTGCTCAAGTGCGGCCACGACGTTGGATCCTGTCATTATGCAGGCGGCGTGCCGCCCCATAAGCGCATGCGCAAGCCCATCGTGCGCAAGAGTGTGGACCCGAACGCCACCTTCATTAACTACATAACGCAGCGCCGCTTTGTTCAGGCGCGCAGCGTGCGCTCCCACGCGCTACCGCCTCACTCGTTCTACAAGAAGCAAATGCTGCCACCCATGGCTTATCCAGGAGACGACGATCTGGCTTCTTGCGTGTGCACCAAGTTCTGCCGCTGCTCTACCAACAAACAGCGTTGCCCCGTCAACTGCCTTACGTGGACACCCGAAGGCCGCCGCCTCATCACGGGCAACTCGGTGGGCGAGTTCACGCTTTGGAACGGCCTGGCCTTCAACTTCGAGACCATCCTGCAAGCGCACGACGACGCTGTTCGGGCCATGGTGTGGTCCCACAATGACAATTGGCTGGTCACGGCCGATCACGGCGGGGTGATCAAGTACTGGCAGTCGAGTATGACCAATGTGCAGCTGTTGCAAGGACACAGAGAAGCAGTGCGCTCGCTGAGCTTCTCACCTACGGATTTCAAGTTCGTCTCGTGCTCTGATGACGCGACGGTGAAGATCTGGGACTTTGAGAGCGGACGCGAGGAGCGCGTGCTCACTGGACACGGTTGGGACGTCAAATGTGTGGCTTATCACCCGCAGAAATGTCTACTGGCTAGTGGTAGTAAGGACAACCTGGTGAAGATCTGGGATCCAAAGTCGGGCAACAGTCTCAATACCCTACACGGACACAAGAACACGGTGTTCAAGGTGGCCTGGAACTCGAACGGCAACTGGCTACTCACAGCCAGTCGTGACCAGTTGATCAAGATCTACGACATCCGGATGCTCAAGGAGTTTGCCACACTCAAGGGCCATGCGCGCGAGGTCACGTCCATCGCGTGGCACCCGTGGTATGAACGTCTCTTTGTCAGTGGCTCGTACGACGGATCGCTCATGTACTGGGAAGTTGGGTACGTTCTTCTGTGCTTTTTACTATTGGTAGACGCACAGATTATTGATAAATACTTGTGCTTCACAGGAAGGAGAACGCGCTGGCATCCATTCCACAGGCTCACGATACTGCTGTGTGGGACATTCAATGGCATCCTGTTGGCCACGTTGTCGCGACGGGAAGGTACGTCTACTCAGCCAGTTTTGGATGGCTTAAGGCTACATGTTAACGTGTCTTCTGTACAGTAATGACCACAGCACCAAGTTTTGGTGTCGCAATCGACCGGGAGACCCGATGGACGACAAGTACAATGGTGGACAGACTGTGCTGAATGAACACGAGATTGGAGAGGCAATGACGCATGTGCGTGGAGGTGCAGATGGCGCTGAAGTGCTTCCTGGTATGGCGGACGGAGCCGCCAGTCTTCGTTCCAGCGCGATCAATGCCGCCAACTTCCAGACATTCAACAAGTCTGTCCCGGACAACCGTGGAAATGGCGGTCGGCGCCCTCCCCCCGATTCGTACACTTGCAATCGCTGCGGGACCAAAGGCCATTGGATCGAGGACTGCCCCACGAAGGACCAACATAATCCCAGTGGTCAGATGCAGCGCAAGGTTCCGCCTGAAGGGTATTTGTGCAAGCGGTGTAACATTCCAGGCCACTACATCTCCGACTGTACCGAACCTAAGGTGCCGCCGCCGTCGTATACTTGCCACAAATGCCGGCAAAAGGGGCATTGGAAGCAGGACTGTCCTATGGATGGGAATGGCGCTATCAACGCGTTGCTAAGTCAGATCCGTCCTCAAGGAGCTCCACTAGTAGTTAACACTGGAGTTCCGATGAGTTCGGGTGGGGCGGGTCCTGTTCCGCCCCCACCGCTATCATCTCGGGGATTCCCTCCACGAGGGATGATGCCTCCTCCACCTCCCGCGGCAGGACTGCTGGTGCCTCCGCCGCCCCCGCCGCATATTCTTGCTGGCATGAAACGTGCTCGCGACGATGATGTCGGCGTTGGGATGCCCCCGCCGCCCATGAACGGCTGGCCGCCAATGGCAGGAGGTCCGCCACCAGGACCCCCTGGAATGGCCGGTCCACCCCCAGGTCTCCTACCTGGCCAGCCCGATCCCAAGAAGTTGAGCCGAGACCCACGACGGAGGTAGAGTGCAACAGAGCCCTTATTGTCGAGGAGATCGGATGTCCTTTGGACGAGCTCAGGAAAGCGAAGAATAGTGATAAGTAACGAACAACCGTCTCGAAGTCAATCGATGGAGTTGTAGGTCTTCATTTTACTGTTTGATGACTTGGACAGTGTTGACGCCGTTGCGGTTGCGCAGCTGTTGAAGTTTTGTTCAACTTGACCTCCGCGCGGATGTGAAGATCGCGTGAAGAATCCGCGCGTCGGCAGTGAAGAGTCAAGATCCAAGATTAAGCAGCAGAAAGCACCAAGACATGTTGCCAATGTTGGCCAGTGTTGGCAACTAACCGCTGTCAGCGGTTAGCTTCGGGTGAGAAGCCTTCGCTCTTGGAATTCAGTGGGGTGACTGATTTCAGTCACGCTGCTCATGGGATCCGCCTTGAGATCTGAGACTAGGAAGATGTGGAAGCGGCATTCACTCTGCTTCATCATGGCCGAGGCAGGTAGTGCCTGCAGACCACACTGCCGCGGTCGCTACAAGCATGCGCGCGCAATTTGCGCCAAGCTTTCTTGCGCCACATCGAGGGTCCGCCATTTTCGACGTAGGACAGCGAAAAACTGTTCAGAACAGCGTCGTCTGCCTCTCGCCTGATTATTGTACTGTACTGCTCTCAGTATAAAACTTTCTATGGCGTTTTCCAGCTGCTTTTCGCATAACCCGCCCTCCATATTAACGGCCATTTCCATAATTCCCCAGTTAGAGAAAGCGCGCCGGGAAGCCAGCGTGATGAAGACGCAGGGCGACTCTGAACGGAGCGCGCACGCGCCGTCCCCCGCGCTCGTACTACAGCAACCTCAGGCCTCTGTGCCCATGTCCGCGAGTCAGCGTCGTAAGCAGCTCACCGGCGGCTCCTCCGACCGTCTGCGTAGCCTCGAGGACCGTCGTCACGCCGCGGGCCGACGACACAGCCAGGTCCCGGCGCCTCCACCGTCCGCGCCGTCCTATCAGCATCTCGGCGCCATCGAGAGCGTTCGTACAGCTCTCAGCAGCACGGGAGGCGTGAGCGCTGGCGCTAACAACGTGGGACACGAAGTTATCCTCAGCGGAGCGCTGAATAAACGCGGCCAGTTCTTCAAGGCGTGGCTGCCTCGCCATTTGGTGTTATCTCGCGGTGCTCTTCAAGTATATAGGAAGAACCCGTACGTACAGCAACAGCAGAAAGACGTGGCGCGGCTGGAGAAGAAACTTTTGAAGATGGAAGTGAGCAGAGCCGACGCCATCCGCGTCGAGTCCACGGACGCCTTTAAGCACCACCCTTTCTGCTTCATTCTCGTGGCACGCAAGCGTTCGCGACGCTTGGGGATCTTAAGCAGCAACGATGATGCCACAACGAGGAGCGCCGTCACCTTCAGCAGCACGGGCGGCAACTGCTTCCAGCACCGTAAGGAGAGCAACTTGGACTCGCGCCGACTGGACGACGGGCCTGTCGTGCTCTACTACCTTCAAGCTGGTAAGGAAGTCGAACGACAGCGCTGGATGCGTGCACTACAACGCTGGATTGAGGGCGAGAGCCCGGCCCAGCTGGGACGTGGGATTCTCAGCTATATTGTGAATAACGAGTACAGCAACTACCGCTACGGACAGAAAGTAGTGAGCAGCGGGTCCTCCCGGTCGGTGATGGGGGACTACTGCTCGTCGGCGGCCTTATCGCCGGCCTCACATGCCGGACGCACAGTCGAACAGGAGTTCCCGGTACTTGCGAACTTGATCCGTGACTTGCACGACTGTAAGAAAGAGGACGAGATGATTTACATCCTGGATCAAGTGTTAGGAGAAGTGCAGGATGGCGCCAATAGTGGGTACATCAAGAAGCTCATTGCTACAGCTGGCGAGGTGAAACTGGAGCACTCGGAGCACATCTGGACGACCCACGTGAAGACGGCGTACGCTAATATTATGAAGGCGCTGCAGACGGCGTCGTCGGGACAAGAGCCTAGCAGTCAGGCGCCGACACTTCGAGCGCCTACGTACGCCACGCGGCAGAATTCAGCCGGCAGTATGGACTCGAGTGCGAGCAACCGGTCTTTGAATAACGTGGACTTGGCGTCGTTCCATCGATTCTACAAACTCGGGCGGAAACTGGGGTCGGGCGCCTTCTCTGTGGTGCACATTGCAACGCACAGAGAGACGCGGAAGCAGGTTGCTGTCAAGTGTATCGCGAAGGCGAGTCTGGGACCTCAGGACGTGCACTCGTTGAAGCAAGAAGTAGAGGTGATGTCGAGTCTGGACCACCCAAATATTGTCCCGTTGCTGGACTACTTTGAGGAGGACAGATACTACTACATCGTAACGCCGTTGTGTACGGGTGGTGAGCTGTTCGACGACCTCGTGAAGCGCAAGAGCTACACAGAGGAAGACGCCCGTGTACTGATGAAGAAGCTGGCCAGTGCCATCGACTACCTCCACTCGCGTGGTATCGTCCACCGCGACTTGAAGCCGGAGAATATTCTACTCAAGACTTCAGCTCCTGGAGCCGAGGTCATGATCGCGGACTTTGGCTTCGCTAGACCCATGAACGGCTCACGTCGCGGCACTGCCTGTGGCACACCCGGGTACGTCGCCCCTGAAGTGGTACAGGGCGAACCGTACGGAGCTGAAGTGGATTGCTGGAGTCTTGGTGTTATTCTCTTTATCCTACTGTGTGGATACCCACCGTTCCCGGGTGCCAACCACGCCACAGTACTTGATAAGGTCGTGAAGGCCGAGTACAAGTTCGAGTCGCCATACTGGGACGAAGTGTCTGATGAGGCCAAGGATTTGGTGACGGAACTCTTGACTGTGGATCGTACCAAGCGTCTCGATGCGTCGGGTATTCTGGCCCACCCGTGGATGGACGAGACCCGAGCGTCGGCGATTAGCACGTCGGATGACAGTGAGATCAAGAAGCAGATCACCCGGAAGTGCTCGGACCTGTTGCCGGCGCTGCACCAGATGCGCAAACACAGTCTGACCCACGGCAGTCCGAAGATTCGTCCGTCCGATATGAATGTGGATGATATCGAACTAGACGAGCTGACCATGAACAGCGACAAGGAAATGCTCGAACGTGAGCTTGCTGATATGGATGGCTTCTAGAGCGAGGGTTACCATTGGAAGTAACCCTGTTGAGCATGTGTATACCGTATACAGTGCCTACTCCACCGCCTCAGACGAGAGGGATATCCCTCAGTTAGGGACCTTAGTCTGAGTTGTATGTAGTTCATGTTGTGTAGTTTTGCATGCTGGCGAGCGCCAGGCTTTGAAAATAATTGGGTATAATAACAAACAACACTTGTATTTGCATACGCTTAGGTGTCATGAGAGAGTAGAAATCCAATATTACCACAGGAGCTGAAAGTTCCTGCTACAGTGCACATTACCCGACGAAGCAATAAAACAATACCAACGCAATTCAGTGCTATTTAATGAATTTTAGCAAAGAATTCTGTAACAAATGTGGGTATTTTCGGCAGCGAGAATGAAGATCGAATTAGCAAAAACGGACCATAGATTCGGACTCAGAACCAGAATTAACGTTATTTAAATGTTTTCTAACGGAAACAAATTTAAATTCTGGTGCAAAGCTTGTTTGGAAAATAGGCTTAGAGCAGGTCAGATATTTCAATTAATAATTAATATTAGAACTAATGAAGATATAGCCATAAAGAGTCGATTCAAGTTGTCCCATCTCAAATACGATCGTTATACTAGAAGGTACCTAGTAGATTATGAGATACCATTAGTCACAAAGACAACCACGATATACACTAACCATCCAGATACAAATCAGCAGCAGAAACAAATACTAGGATATTTATCAGGATAATGATACAACGAGCGATCAATTTATCAAAAGAAGATACAATTAATCTGATTGGTCAGAATAAAATAACGAGGTCTCTATATTTGCACTAGTTAAAATTAATCCTGTTTGGGTATTCTGAGGTATTCCCAGTATAAACCTTTTGTTAGTACGAAGGTTGGTAGAAGAACCAACAGCTGCAGACCTAAGCTTTCGCCGGTTAGGATGAGTTCCTCAGAGGGTAAGGCGCATAAGTTTGATCTGAAATCTCGCTTTGGATATGCAGAAACTGAGCAGTACATACACTTTGTGAGTTTGGAGACGGTAGGTTCTTTTATCAAACACTACGCCTTTAACATGAACAAAAGTGCCGAGAGGAAGAAAGGAGGTGGCGGGACCCACGTAAAATGGCTGTGTTCTGAGCGCAAAAACGGTTGTAGCTGGTTTATAGCTTTGTCACGCAAACGTCAATCAAAAATTAATGAAGAAGCGACCATGCAGCGGCGGAAAAAGCCTACAACTAAACTCTCACATATTCCAAGTGGATCATGGTATATCTCTAAAATTGAGCTAAACCACGCACAACTTTGCCCTGGGATTGCTGTAATGACTACTGAGTTTCTGTTGGAGCATCCTGGTTTTCGTGGAGCTATTCTTCCTGGTCATAGCACTTCACTAGCGCGGGTAGTAAAGACAATGAGTGAAATTCACGGTGTCGACATTTCCAAGCAACCTGCAATGGCCTACCGTACCATTACACAAGCAAAAAACCAGAACCCATTTGACCCGGTAGCTGAGTACGGACGCCTTCCTAGTTTTCTACGCGGAAAAACCCTGGTTCACGGGTTTGTTGTCAGTTGGACTCAGAGGGGAGGTTTTATAGAGCCTTTTTATCTATTGGTAGTGCTGTGAATGTGCAAGACGCATTTTTACCTGTTTGGGAGTGCGATGGCACGCACATGAAGGATCCGTCATACAATGGCATTTGTTTGACAATTATTGGTATAGACGGGAACAAGCAAAATGTGCCTATTGCAGTGGCCTACGTTCACAAAGAGACCGTCGACAACTTTGCCTGGTTTTTCGGGAACTGTATTGTCGCTGGTATAAAGATGAACATTTGGCCTGCGTTTTGCGACAGAGGAAAACAGCTAGCAGCTCAAGCCTTGTTGCTTCGCATCAACATGAAAATACACTTGAAGTTCTGCACACTGCATATCAGGTTTAACACCATGGACAAATTCAAATCTCTGAGGTTAAACTTGAAGTCCGTAAACGACGATATTTTTTCGCTTCAAGGCGCTTCAGCAACCGAAGGGTATGAGCTCATCAAAAATAAAATAGCATCCAAGTATCCTGCCGGAATTTCAAAGGTTTTCGCGGTGAAGATCGTAGAGGAGCACATTTGGAGCTACCTTAGCAGTATTCATCACACAGATTGGTGTGCTGTCGGTAAAATGAAGGCAACAACAAATGAATTAAAGTGGATAGACGATAACTGGTCTTCTGTCCCAAAGCACGGCGACGCTTTGCCTCTGTTTGGTATCCGTACTACGAGTGCTGTCGAAGGAGAGAACAACGGGCTACTATGGGGACGTGTGCGGACCCAACTTGTGCTAGGTTCAGTCATGACGTACTGTACAAGAGCACTCAAAGTTTTGCAGAAGCGTAAGGAGCTCGTCCAGGAGTGGAATAGTGCAAGTTTTGATATCACTCCTCACGCTCTGAAGGAGTTCGAAAAGGAGAAAGAACTAATAGCTCATCAGACAGTCGTGCAGAGAGACGAGTCTCTCTTCTACGTCTTTGACGCCTTCGATAGCCGCGGTTTAGGTGGGGACGCACATCTCTACGAAGTAAACATGGATTGTGGAACTTGTACTCGATGCACTGTTGCTGAACAAATGCAAGTCCCTTGCCGTCACATGCAGGCAGTCGCTTTCTGGAGATCAAGGCAGACAAATAGTGGACTTCCGGACTATGATATCAAGTACTACTTCCATGAAGCTTACACTGTGTCGAAAATGGTAGAGGCCTTTGACTCCACTGTTATCAGTCTTCCTCTGTTTGACGAACTTGAGCAGACAAACGAAGTCAAGCTTCCACCGTTATATCGTCAAGCTGGCCAATCACGCAAGCGCTCGAAAGAAGCCAGAGACTTTGCAACTGGTAAAAGAAGAACACCAAACCGAGGTGAATGTGCTGGGTCAACGGCTCCAATAGTTCGTCCGTTTGTGCCTAGTGATGTACACAGCGATGATGATAGCAAGGCAATTGCAGAGTTTTTCAACTCGCAAGTGAAGGGCGCGCGGAGAAGCAAACGAGAAACGTACACATGCAGCCGCTGTAAAGAAGCCGGTCATAACGTGAGGAGCTGCACGACACCACTGATGGAGATAGAGGAAGCTGGAGAATCTTTGAATAAATGGACGTCGAGAAAGAGCGAGCCGAGAACAACAACACCTTTCTCATATTGAAGTTTTGTTGTTAGAGCTCATTATTTAATCAAATAGCAATAAACCGTATTATGAGGAGTGTGCATTTAGCAGCAACGCTAGGTAATGAATGCCATGTCTGAGGGTGCAATAAAGTTCTTTCATCCAAGGCTGTCAGTGTCAACTAGTTGACATTTAATGCAGTATCGTGGGCGAGAGATTAGAGTTGACAACATAGTGATGCAGATTTGACGCGTACCTCTGTATGTGAGCGGGGTTAGAGCACTATCGGCCAAACTTGAGCGTCAATATGCTCGCTTCGGCACCAATTATCAACACTTCAGAAACCAACAGGTGCATAACCAATGTCAGCAACAACGAAACGCTCAACACAACGAGTTGTTCGACCCACACATCTGCGTTTTTGTTCCAGCTGAGTAGAATGCTGCTCTGGACGATATTCACCCTGCTGAATGCCTTTTAAACAACGTCATTAGTTTAGTCACATTACACCCACTCGAGAAGTCAATCTACACCTTGAACCGCCCACGGAAATTTCTTCGTCCATAACTGGTGCAGTGTACAAACTACCACGATGCACATTTTGTGTGCGTGGTAGTGAACTGCGCGCGTGACGTCGAGGGGCCCACGCGTCGACAATAGTCCTCTGTTGACGGTGGCTTCCTGTTCCACAAATATTTATGATGTTCCTTAAGGTTTTTATTTTTATGAATGAATGTAGCGCATATTATTCTGGCCAATCAGATTCATTGTATCTTCTTCTGATATATTGATCGCTCGTTGTATCATTATCCTGATAAATATCCCAAATACTATGCATCTCGATCACAGATGAATGTCACCATGTTAAGGTGCTCGTGCTCTCGACATTGAAACCAACCAAAATTGGTTGGGGCTCCGCGTTATTAAGCTAGGAATAATACCTAGTTCCTCAGTTCGGAAATCGCCATGGAGGCAGCGGACGTAGTCGCTCGACTGCGTCTTCTGCAGCAAGATGAAGACGAAAACCTCGCTACCAGCAGCCAGAGGTTTGGGGCCTACGTAGACTACGTCGAAGAGGAGGTAGTGGAATCAGAGTCGCCCATCATGGATTCCTTCTACTTTTAAGGAGGGGATAGTGTGCTTAAAACGATGACAAACTTCACCCAAGCCGAGCTTGAAGTACTTTGGGGACTTGTAGAGGGCGAGCTGCACGCAACATGGAATGTGGGACGGGGACGCAAGACCAAAACAATGGCGAAGGACGCCATGTTCATGGGCTTGGTGATACTGAAACACTACGACACGTGGGACAAGCATGCAGTTGACCTCGGCCTGAATCCGAACACTTTGAAAAAGAAAATTTAAAAGCCTTTACAGTGATTGAACTTATTTTATTCAAGGAGTTTGTTAAGAACGTGACGATGACTGAGCAACGTGAAAACGGGAGAACATTTCGCAACTACCCGTATGCTTTGTATGTTACGGATGTAAAATTTCAACCGGCGTACCGTCCAAGTGGCCAATTTGCAGAACAAAAAACCTACTATAGCGGTAAACACAAGCTATGTGGATACAAGCTTGAGTGCCCAGTGGCATACCCGAGGGTGGCTGTTGACTTGTCTTCCCACGAGCCTGGATCCAAGTCGGATCTGACTATGTTTCTGGAGCAAAAGGCGTCTCACATGGAGTTATTGAAGAAGGTGGCGAAGGAGTTAGCGTTCGAAGACAGCGGCGAAGGTATCCTCTCCAATGGGGTGTGCTTGTCGATAGAGGTTACCAAGGCGCCGAGAGTACCATTCGAACCATCCAACCAAAGCGGAAGCCTCGCGGCGCAGAGCTTATCCACCAAGACGTTGCAC